ACAGGAGCAAAGGAAGCAAAGTTTCCTTATTTAGTAAAGGAAAACCAGTCTCCTCTTGGCTTATATCGAAATCCTCCGACATTCTTCTTTACAAATCCTCGTTTTGTACTTCTAATTCATGACCGTTGTTTTGTTTTGATCTCTCCGCTGCGTTTCCGTGTGCGTCACTTCTGAGCGGCTCATGCGCAAAACTGACCTCATACGTCATCCGCCCAGAGCTGCTTCCATGTACAACAGTGAACGCAAGTTAGATTAAATTCATTATTACGTTTTAAATATGGTTATTTTTCATACAAAAACTCATCGATTCGCTACAGGAGGACTTTGTTCACCCCCCGGAGCTGTGTGAGACACTTTTTTTATGGATGGGTGCTTTTTATTTAACTTCTTTTGGACTGATGCACTGCAACACCCGCTGAGTGCCATAAAACAGCTTGAAAGATCAAAGACCATTTTTTATATAACTCCGACTGGATTCGTCTGACAGAAGGGGCACGTTTTTTAGGTCTGAAAACACGAGGCGCACCACACTGCCTTTTTTTGGTAACACTTAAAAAAAAAAAAAATTTTTAAAGCAGTTCCCTGCATTTTTTATGTTGCTATGCAACCACCAAATCAGCTGTCCTGTCAGTGTAATAAAAGGATTATAGCGTGAGCGCTCTAAAATCTTTGGTTTTTGCTGTTAAGTAAACTGTCATATTAGCAGAAATCTTAAAAAGTACAGCTCAGAGTAACCTGCGGCAGACACCAAAGCTGCGTCCCAAATGACGCACTATACTCTATGCACTTATACACTATGCACTCAACCATGTAGTGTATGAATTATATAAGGTTATTTTGTCATTCATAAACTGAGGCTTATATCCCCTACTCCTTCACTACGTAATTAAAGCTGCGACAGTTGAGTGCATGAAGTGTTCAACATTCCACACTTCGTTATTTCGGTTATTTAAGTGCATCATCCGGGTATTTAAAGTGCACTTTTTCTTTTTGGAATTTTCAGTGTGAACACACTACTCACACTATACTACAAAACGTCATAGAATAGTGCATAAGTATGCGATTTGGGACGCACCTCAAAAGTTTCTCCTCCATCATTGCAGTTTCCGGCCTTTCCAAGCAATGGTAAACGTTCGTCACCACAACGGAAGGCACTGAGGCAGGTGTCAGGATCAGACCACAGATGACAACAGCTCTCCATTCATTCGATTGGACAATGGGGAAAAAACGCGAATGACGTCGAGCGCTTTTTCTGCTCAGAGTTGCTTTTTTTTCAAATTCAGGCGCCATTGAGAGCGCTCCTGCAAAAATGCGAGGTGCACAGGGCGCATAAACAGTGCGCAGAACGCTCACTGCCAACCGAAAACAATTAAAAAAAGGCGCCTCTCACTGCAAAAAACGCATTCTGTGTGATCGGGGCCCAAGTGCACATGAAGTTTGGGACAGGGCCGGAATTATTTCCATTCTCTAGTAGGCGTTGTAAATTAGACTTTTTCGTGGCAGTTGCCTTTGCAGTTTGTTAGCTATATCTGTATTAAACCAAATAACTTGATTTCAACATTATCAGATTCAATTAAATGTAGGCTACATTACCGTTCACACGATGTTTTGTCTGTTTTTGAAAAAAGTCTCTTTTGCTCATCAAAGCTGCAAAAATACAGTAAAACACTAATATTGTGACGTGTTATTAAAATTTTAAACAACTGCTTTCTATTTTAATATATTTTAAAATGCAGTTTATTCCTGTGATCACAAATTAGCTGAGTTTTGAACAGCCGTCGAATCCTAGGTGTCACATGACCTTTGGTGACCTTTGATTGCTCAATAAATATTTCTTATTGTCAGTGTTTAAAAAAATAAATGAATGAATAAAATGAATAATTTCTTCATTCAGTTTTGAACCGTTTAAATATTACAATATCTCCGTCTTGTATCTGTTTAAGAGGATTTAACTCACAATGTCTGTCTAGGCTACTTTTGTTTTAATAGCGTATGGTTTTTAATAAACCATTGTTTAATCGGCTTCCCATTGAGATTTAAATCTGTATTACAAGAGAGATCTGACCAAGGAGAGCAGAAACCAGATCCAGATAGTATTACAATAGACTGCAACAGACTTTGAAATTCAAAGTACATTGTTTGTGCAATGTATGATGTACTTGATAGACAACATTTGTTGACAATAAGATTAGGTATTCCTTTAAATTAGGCCGCAATAGTCAAGAATAAGCAAAAATGCAACTTAACTTTGTTCCAGAAATGGAAAGCAAAATCAGCTACCTGTCAAATGCTGTTGATGAGACTTAAATTAGAAAATTGTTCTCAGTTAAAAGTATATACCACTTCAGTTTGTTGACTTTTCAGTTTGTTGACTTTAAAGGGGTCATATGATGCGATTTCAAGTTTTCCTTTCTCTTTGGAGTGTTACAAGCTGATTGTGCATAGATAAGATCCCTGAAGTTGCAAAGACTAAAGTTTCAAAACCAAAGAGATATTCTTTATCAAAGTTAAGACTCTGCCACGCCCCCCTAAAACAGCTCGTTCTAACACGCCCCCACATATCTACCTCACTATGTGGAAATATTTGCATAATGCTGCCCAAATGTGCACGCAAAGAAAGAAGGCGTGGTTTCAGTAACCGCAGTTAGTGTTGAAGCAGTCATGTCAGGGAGACGCTGTGTGTTTCTAGACGAAAGCAAAAGCACTTTATTTTGCCTTCCGAAAGTAGATGCATTTAGGAATCTTTAAGATTACTTACAACAGAACAGCAATGCATTTTATGAACGACCGTTTCGTGAACCTAGGAGAGGACGTAATTCTGACTTTGCTATGACAATCTGGCGCTTCTGAATCAGCTACTGTTTTGTTATTAGTTTAAGTATTTGCTATTGAGTAAAAATATTTCACAATATTACTGCTTTTGCTGTACTTTGGATCAAATAAATGCAGGCTTGGTGAGCATAAGAGACTTCTTTATAAAACATTAAAAATCTTACTGTTCAGAAACTGTTGACTGGTAGGTTATATAGATTACAGAAATGTTATATATATATATAACACGACTAGAAATCAGTGGGAAAGTTGTATTTACAACACTGTTCCAGAACTGTTCAACCCAAATATTCAGATGTGTGCAGTGCATTTTATGGAGGACTGTTTGCTGATCCTGGTAGAGTAGACTACAATGGTGGCTGTTCTGACTCACAGACTGTAAGTACTTTTTTATATTTAAAGAATTTGCCACTGATGATTCAAACTCGAGTTTTGAGCAGTGTAGAGTTGCGCTTGTTTGTCATTTCTCCAATCACAAATGCAGACATGGTTTTATGTTTACGCGGCGCGATGCAACACAACACGTAAAAAGACAATATAAGTCATTATAATCCGTAATTATGTCCCCACTGGATGCAACAAATGCCACGTTTATAATGGGTTTTAATGTTTTTGTCTCGTCGCTCTGGCCGGACAGGGCATCACAATATGGTAAGAGGTGTAACATTTCCGTCACACGCTTGAGGTATTTGGTTAATCACAACGCACTGGATAGCTGGCCAATCAGAGCACACCTAACTTTTCAGACCGATGAGCTTTGTAAAAATTTATGTGTTTCAGAAAGGCAGGGCATTAAGACAATAATGTACAGTATGTGGAAAATAATGTGTTTTTTTAACCT